ATTTACTATACCATACATTTTACTGTTATTTTAGAGGGTATTATTTCTACTTATAAAAAAGTTTGCTATAAAACAGTATGCCATGTTATGCTGGTAGCAACCTCATACATCTGGTGTTTACCTCTCTTGATTACATCACTTAATCTTGTGCTTGATTTAATCTTAGTTTTTTGTTTTGTTTTGTGCACAATAACATGCTATATAGGCAAGTAGTCTAATATCTATAGCCTCTGTGTGTAGTAGGCTATATCATCTAGGTTTGTATAAGTATATTCTATGACATTTGTACAACAATGAAATTGCCTAACAAAGCATTTCTCATAATGCATACCTACTGTTAAGTGGCACATGACTGTACTAGGATGACAAAAGTTGGATTCCAGAACTAGTATGGAGAGGACTTCAGTAAATCCCACACACTTTGGTTCGGACTTCAAAGATAGAAATCCTAGAAATGAAGGTTAACTAGAATAAAAGCAGCTGTCACTGGGTTTCAGCACAGCTTTGGGTCATCTAAGTGTCCCAGAAGTTAGAATCCCTGAAATTGAATTAGGATTATCCATATTGCCTTTGCTTGACAGAAGCATAACAAAAACAAAAACAAAACAAAAAAAAACCAACAACAATAAAACACTAACAAGATAACAATATTATCTTAGGCCTCAAGTTATTTCTACATACAGTTTTTCAAATGCAACTTCTGTTATGCAAAAATAATCAGGAGTGATAGGATATAAGACAGCATAAAAAGAATCAGATAAAACAGAAATATATCCACAAAGGCTAAATATTAGAGCTGTCAAATGAAAGATTTTTAAATAATTATTACTTTATGCTTAAGATGAAATATAAAATGTTAAATATTGAAATATAAATTTTATTATTAAGTTAAAATGTCAATAGACACATAAAATTTCAATATAAAACTTGGCACTAAACTATTTGAAAGTAAACCAAAGAAAAATTCTAGAACCAAAAAAAGTAATAAATGAAATGAAGAATCCTATGAATAGTTTCAATAGCAGGTTTTACATAGCTCAAAACAGAATTAGTAAACGAAGTAAACGAGAAGAAAATATCTACAACAAAGAACAGAAAGCTAAAAAGATGAGTGTATACAAATGAGAGTGTAAGACACACTGTGTATACAGTTCCAAATCATTTAAATTGTATTTGTAGAGGAAGAGAATTGGAGAGTAGCAACTTCTAGAGAGTTAATAACCCAAATATTTCCTGAACTAATGAACAACATTACTCTGGATACACGAACCAAATAAATCCCATCACTGAAAATTAAAAAAAAAAAATTATCTATAGCAGCACTGCCCAATAAAACTTTATGCAATGATAGAAATGTTCTATTCTGTGCAATCCAATGTGGTAGCTGCTAGTCACATGTGGCTATTGAGCACTTTAAAATTTGGCTACGCAACTGAGGACTTGAATTTTAACTTAATTTGAATCAATTAAAATTTTAATTAATTTAACCACATATGGCTAATGACTATTGTATTGGGCAGTGAAGACCTGGAGCATCAGAATAAAACTACTGAAAAACGAAGACAAAGATAAATATCTTTAAAGAAATCAGAGAAAAGACACTACAAAGGACAGTATTATATAGTTACCTTTTCTATATAAACAATGGAAACTAAAAGACAATAAAATATGCCAAAGGAAAATAACTATAAATTTACAATCCTATACCCAATAAAAATATCCTGTAACAATGGAGGTTAATTCTGTTATATTCTTAGTTTAACCCATAGGCAACATTGGAGAAGAATTTGTATATTGGCCTTGAAACTTTTGAGATACTAACAATTGTTTCCGGTTTTCCTGTGTTCTGAGACGTCATCTTCTCAATGTGGCTCTTTTGGCTCACTCAGCAGAGGGTTTACTGCTCTCTGGACACACTTTTCTTGTAGCATTTATACTATCACTTTGCATTTACTGGTTTATATGTTTGTTTCTCTTACTTGACTGTCACTTCTCTGGGAAGTTTTAAACATAGCACTTAATAATTGTATTTCAAGTGGTATCCGAAAGTGCATTATTTTAAAACTAAAAGTTAATGATAATAAGATTTATTTCACAGTCACTTGTCAGTGAAATATTGGAGACAGGCATCCAAAAATTTTAGAATAACCCCACATGTCATATCATAGGTAATATCCAAAATTACATTACTTTAGAATGAAATGATGCTTTAGGACAATTTACATATTAAACCATTTCATGTATTAAAGAAATTCAATCTCAGAGAGGTCAAGTAGCCTGCTGAAGATCCCCAAAAAACAAGAGCTAGGACCAGAACCCAGTCTTCTAATACATGAACATTCCTCTGTATCATGTTATCTCAGAACTAAGACTCCTTCTATTTACACTGGATTCAGCATTTCCATATTGACTCCAAACTGTTATTGAGTTTAGCAATTACCATATGTAGTTTTTAAAATCAACTTCCAGTCTTTACTAAAGTATGAAAGAAACATTAACCTGGGTGTCAGGGAAACTGGATTCTTATCTCAGTTTTGTTGCTAGTTGAGCTGGAAATCTTTGTGAATATCCCCTATCTTCTCTGGACCTTTTTACTCCAAAAAGTAACATTTCACAGTGTAACCTATGTAAAATGAAGCAGATATTCTAGGAGAGGTCTGGACTTAATTATTGTTTTTAAACACTATCATTCTACTTAAAATATTTCTAATTGCTTTCTGTTTCACACCTCATCCACTTTCCTATAGAGAGAAATAGACTTAAAAAAATACATGTTACAAAGAAAGATAAGTTATTCTTAATTGTCACTATCAATGAGTATTTTTGGTGAATGTCTAAGAGTGAAAACAATATAGCCAGTTAAACAAACAAACAAAAAAACACATCTATTTGTTCCATGTTGACAGGTTGACATGGTCTAATGCAGCGGTTCTCAACCTGTGGGTCGCGACCCCTTTTGGGGTTGAACGACCTTTTCACAGGGGTCACCTAAGACCATCGGAAAACAAAAAGATATTTACATTATGATTCATAACAGCAGCAAAATGACAGTTATAGAGTAGCAACAAAAATAATTTTATGGTTGGTGGTCACCACAACATGAGGAACTGTATTAAGGGGTCACGGCATTAGGAAGGTTGAGAACTGCTGGTCTAATGGATGAAAAACCACTATCGGGCAGCTGGATAGCTCAGGCGGTGAGAGCGCGGGCCCTGAACAACAGGGCTGCCGGTTAAATTCCCACATGGGCCAGTAAACTGCGCCAGTAAGCTGTGCCCTCTACAGCTTAAATTAAAAAAAAAAAGTAACTTAAAAAAAATAATACTACTACTATCAATGCAGAAACAGCATGCTTTGGGGATATGCATGTAACTTGAGTTATATAACTATCTAGGTCCATTTTACATTATTCAACAAATTTCTGAGTTGGACCATTTTTTAAGTAAAGGACAGCTTTATAAATATTATAAATATTAGATAATTATTATTCCTAAACACTGGATCCAGGAGAAAAATAATAAAAATTCAACTCAAATATATTTTCTCTGTACTCCCTCCCTACTCTCCCCATATCCTCAGGCCACTCTGGTCAGGAATTGGATACCTCTAGGCACAAAGCAGGTTAAACAGCTGTTTGACTCACTGTATTTGACTACTTGTTATCTGGCAGATTGAGATTTCTGCTGAGAGCACCATTTGGAATTTTTTTCCCCAAAACTGATATTTTTTAAACATGGAATATGAAATACAGTGAGACACTGTGATACATTCATAGAATAATAGTGCCAAAAGACAGTGTGATAGATTTATGTCAAACATCAAACTTTGTCCCAGAAGTATTTAAGGAGATAACCCTACATTGGCTGAGGTGGACATGATGGAATTATGAATATGGGTTTTCTGGAAATGTGAATATAAAAATGATACTAGCTTCAGGTGTGTGGACTATTAAGGAGAGACTATCAGACATGAGTATAAATAGGGATGTACATAAGCATGTAGGACAGAAGGAGGTAGACAACATACGCTAAGGGGAGACAAATTGGGGAAACATAATTACAGAATCCAAAAGAGCCATTAAGTCAAAGTTTGCGTATTTCAGAGGAGACTAATAATAATAATAATAATAATAATAATAACTACACAATAGTTATTTCAGCAACAAAAATAGTTAATGCTTACAGAGCATTTAGTGTATATATATATATATATATATATATATATATATATGTAAGCTCTGCTCTAATGCTTTAAATATAATAATTTATTTAATCTTCTTGACAATCATATGAAGAGCTATTATTATTGTTCACAATTTACGGGAGACAAAACTAAGCACAGAGAATTTAAGCCTGATTCAAGTCACACAGCTGATAACAAACAGGTTAAGCCATGGTTTGAATCTGTGATTTAAAGGCAATGAATGAATCTAAAATCTTAACCACAGGATAAAAGACGCTACAGAGAAGTGGAACACTTTTAAATTAAGTGTATATAATAAGCAAAGCCTGATCAAAGAAAGGAAACCCCACTGTAGCCCTATGTGGTGGGAGCAGAAAAACATACAAAGAATTCCCTTTTATCTAGGTCTTTTGTGTGAATTATATTTCTTCCAAAATTCACCTCTTTTGTCCCCATCATCTTCAGACCAGAGTACACACAACTAAGACTTCCTTTAAAGTCTCAATCCTTCTCCAATCATTACAAACTTTTATCTCAGAAAACTCTCTTTCTATGCAAAATGAATCATTGACATTCCAGTTGAAACCCATTTCCTCTTCTCTGATCTTTATTGGAAATGTGAGATACATACTAGATGAAGGCAGTTAAAATTCTAATCACCTGGGTTTTTCCTTTTTATTTAATAACTCATTTAAACATACTTCTGCTAAAATCCTATTTTAAAGTCTCCCTGACACCAATTACTGATATCTTCACATCTTTCTGACAGCCTTATTTTGCCATCTTAAATGTACTTGTGGTGAGTTTTCTCATCTTACCTCTCCATTTTCTAAGGGGTGTATCTTGGAATAAAATGAAGTGCAGATGACCTCATCGTCTTTGGCATATGATGGTGGTCCAGTGCGGGGATAAATATTGTAGAGGGTTAGGCACTCTGCATCCGTCACAGCATGATACTGCCAGGGCTTGTATTCAACATCATCGAGTGAGCGTTCCAAAATCCAGTTTCCAGGCCGAGGAGAATTAGCTGCTTTCACAATCACATACGCAATCTGGAACACCTGCGGAAGAGTGACAACAATGTGTACCTTTGAATTCCAGAGTATTCTCACCATTTTATATCAACTATAAGGCTTAATGCTACAACAGATTTCATTTCAGATTTTATTCCATAATGCTTTATGTTCTCTGAAATGATTTTACTGTTACATTTTAATATTTAATACCTTTTTGCAAAGATGACATTTTGACAGCCATGTCTTTAAAAGAAATGGGTTAAGATTGGATTTTAGTCCTCTAGCAACTCATTGACACCATTTCACCTAATTTTTAAAAGTTCCACTATAAACACAATCACCTAAAGCATTCATGACATACCAATTTACTCATCTTACTGTGTTAGAGGATATAAAGTATGAGTTAGAAATTCCATGTGTGGATGATAGCGCTCAATAGTTTAGAAAATATGCTAACTTATATTACCTAAACCTCTGAAAATGATCACTTAGATGGAACTAGTGGGGTGCAGCAAAACAACACAGGGTTTTGGAGGCACAGTCCTGTGTTACAATTGTGCCCTCAGCATTTATGTGACCTGAGGAATATCATTTTACTTTTCTAACTCTTAGCTTTCTTTTCTGTCAATTAGGGTCAATAATAAGTACTCAACTGAAAGACAATCTGAATTAAATGAAATAATGTGCGCAAAGTACCTGGAAAGGACTTGACAGTGAATAATAAATGTCACTTCCTCTACATTCCGAAATAGAAAATAACGGAGAAGAACTTCTGGTATAGCAGACAACTGACTAAAACTGGAACATATTAAATGAACAGTTTCTGTACCTTCAGTACAAGAGGTAAATGTGTTTTAAAAAGGGGGGAAGGATAAAGAAAGGCATCAGAGTGACAATAGAGGGTAATGTGGCAATCATCTGTTTTCACATCTACATAAAATGTGAAGACGTAAAAGTAAATACTCTGGATGCTTTGTGATAGTACGTGTGTGTGTCTTTACCAATGCAGCCCATAAGTTCAAAAGAATAATGTAGAAACATTGAGTAACATTTATATGCAATGTCCTGGGTAGAAAGATAGATATGAATTAATTTAACTTACAGTCCCACCATCCATGGGCTGATAATATATTATAATAATGAGATTTATGAAAAATATACTACTAATAAAGCAACATGATATGTTCATGTTTAGTAAATGTTATGGGATATGGGGAGCCTAACAGCTCCAAGTTCTGGGTGATTGGGGTCACTGGAAGAGTTCAATTGGGAAGACAGGCCCACTAAAATGTGATTCATGCTTCTGCTGGGCCACAGAGGGAACCCTGAAAGGAGTGTACTAGAAATAAATGTTATCTGCTTCATAGTTTTGACATAGACCTTCATGAATACAGGTACAATATCTATGGTAAACTCTAAGGGGTTGAACTTATAAATATGAAAAGTTGGTATGAAGGGGCAATCTGAGTGGATCTGATGGAGGTCTTCTGAAATGGTCTGAGGTCTTCTGAGATCTTTACTAGGAGGCCGACACACTTGTGTGCAGTGAGGGAAAAACCACCAGCCATTAGATGATTGAAATTAGGTTTGATACTTGCTTTTTAGGTACAGTTGTAGAAAAACTGGTGGATAGAATACTTAAATAGTTTTGTACTTGTGGGTGAATTGCTGCAGCCCAAGCCTCCCAAATGCTTCCTCTCCCCTGAGACCATCTGGTTATCTCAGCACAGTCAGGAACAGCCAAGACATCTGTTCCGATTGGTCTGGACTTTGCTCTGTTTATTGAATGTCATTCCAGGGAAATACTATGAATCTATATTTACAATGATATGCAGATAAGTATAATTGTAGGTAGACACACTTATCTATGTTTGTGCATATAAATATTTGAATACACTTAGACCTTTTGGGGAAAAATATACATGAATATATTAAAGCTGTTACCTCTGGGGTTTGAAAACAAGGAATCAAGGAGAGAAGGAGGAGAGTTTTTACTTTTTATCTAAACCCTATTATATTAATTAATTAACATAAATGTCTTAGTTCTTAATAAAATTACTTTTAAAATAAAGAAAAATTAAAGCAAATAAGTATTGAAAGGATAAGATTAGGAGTAAGATGGAACATAGTTCATCAACCATTATCCAAAATACTTGCTATTTTTGCATTTTTAAGGTATTATTCATAAGAAATTATTTTAGACACTCCATATCCAACAACTCATTCACATGAAATTTCTTCATAAAGAAATTTGCTGGAGAATATACCTATTGATTAACCTTATACAACACAGACAGATCGTTGTCTCTATTATAAATATGAAACATCCAGTCCTAATTTCTGGTAATCCTAAAGTATTTTTGACAAATGATAAAAAATACAAATAACTAAATTGTGAGCTCCTAAATGTCAGAGATGCTATCCTTATTATAATCTGTTTGAAATAACCTGCATTCAACATTTATTAGATTCGGTTGAAGAACCAAAATCATTGTAACATGCTTCCACGTTACTTCTATAAACTTAACAATGTTTTTTGTTGTTCTTGTTGTTCTTGTTGTTCAAGCTTGAATCCCAGTCAACACCAGCCTATTTTGTCGCTTACAGTAACTAAGATATGCATTGCTTGGGTGTTCATCCTATTATGTTTCTATGAGCTGAGAAGTTACTTAAACTCTTTTATCCTGTTTCCCAATGTTTCTTTTTAAAAGTCAAAACCGAAGAGATACGGAGATAATGAGTACAAAACACTGCATATTCTCTAGGGAAAAAAAAAAAAAACAACACTATAAATATCTCAGATTAGCATCTTTTCTTCCAGGAAAAAAAAAATGCTCAGAGATTTTTTTTATATAGAAAACAAACAAACAAAATTAGCAAAATAATTAGAGATCACAGGTACTCAGAAAGATAGAAAGAGTAAAAATACACTGAGGTTATCAATAAAGAATTTTGTTTAAAAGACAGTTCAGAAAACAAATACAGGAAGAGGCCAAATTCTCTTGGAGCTACAATAAAGATGTACGACTCAGGAGCTTCTGTGTTGTTTCTGAAATAACAGATGAAGTCCATGGAAAACAGTTATACTAGAAACCCTACAGACTCTTTCTATACTTTAGTATAACAGCCAACATTAAGTGACATGGAAAAGTAGTCATTTCCTTAGAGAATATTAGAAGAGTCCCATTTCAAAACAGTATTCCTCTTTCATTTGTTTTCTATGGATTCTTTCACATTTCATGCAAAATTAATTAAATTAGTTGGCATGCAGCGTTTTGAATAAACTTTTAAAAAATGTGGTAGGCAGCATTATTGAAAATCTTATTTGAAGGAATCTGAGAACGGCTGTGAAAATTTTAACAGTGATTTTTCTAAGTACGCCCATTTTAATGATTCTAATAGAATAATTCTCCACTGTACCTGTGCTACTTTATAAACTATGTCTTCTGTTTTCAATATAAAGACTCTTCAAAATCAGTAGTCATAAAACCTTATTTCCAGGTTAATAAAACCCTAATCTACATGGGGTGCAACAAGGAGAGCAAACACCTCATTATAAGAAACATAAAAATGCCACAACGGGTAGGCTTTGATGAACCTTAGATATCAACACACAATTGCCAGATTTTTCTCTGTTGGTGGGCACTTTTCACAAACTTGGTGCATAAAGAAAAAATCCAAAATAACTTTTGAAATAATACCAAATGTTTCACATTTTACACATAACAAAGTGAACTTTCTATTTCATATCCCATTTGTATGTCACCTACCAAAATAATACGTAATTACTTCATTGATCCAGAATTGCATTAGATGTTCCTGCTATGACAGGCAGTGCATTTCAAACTTGATCTCTTTTAGGGTAAAATTGGACAACAGAGTCTTTCTAAAGAATCCTTCAATCCCAAAGTAACAAGTAACATATAATGACCACCGCATACAATGATGTTTGCCAATATTGTCATACCATGGCTGAGATACAATATTGGTACAGCACAGGGGTTAAAAGAGGAGACCTCAAAGATGAAAGTGAGCATCCTAGGGACTTTGGCCACTCTGTGCTACCCTGGGGCTGAATATCTTGGCTCATCTATAACCCATGTAGATAAGTCTGATATCTAGAACCAATTTCTAGCTCATGAATTGCTAGGTCTGGATATTTTTGAAATATTCTCTGCTATGACTCTGTATGACTCTATCATAGCTTATCCTAGTTCCTTTGTCCTTTGAAGAATCACAAAACTAGAACAATGCTACCAAAAAAATAATGTTTCGGAGATTTTACTGTGGCTTTTTTTTTTCTTAATTTTTTTTTTTAAATTACAGTTGACATTCAGCATTATATTAGTCTCAGCTGTAGAGTATAGTGGTTAGATATTCTGAGTGTCACTGGCACACAATTAAGAGAACCAGGCCAAAGTATGAATCCTTAATGATGAAACAAAGCTATGGACTTCTGTCTCTTCTAGTCAAATCCCCAAGAAAGGCATGAAAATACTAACGAAGGTCACTCTCTAAAGAAGATGACAATTCATCCTTCTCATAGAACTTGACCTTAATTACCCTCTTCCACTTCTTCTTTCCTAATCTCTCAAGAGAACAATATGTGGCCACTTAATTTTGTCCATGTTGAGCCCTGTCTCTTTTCCCACATGACTGTCTGCCTGTGAACTTCCTATAGAAAGTCTACACAACGGAACTGCTTAATTGTGAAAGAGGCTTTGCAATGTTCTAGAAACTGCTCTTGCCCATGATATGAATTTTAACATGTCCATGTGCTGTGCTGCCATCTCTAATATATTTTGAAAATTCACCTGTATTCTTAGTTCTAAAATCATGCTTATCAAATTCTCTTATTTATCCATATAGGTATGTTGGATTTCAGAAAGTAATGGGAGTTACAAAATATCAGAAAGGAGCCTAGAAATCATGAGCTTTCAAGCTTAGTACCCATTGGAATAATCTCAGAAGCTTTATAGAAATGTGTATATGTTTCTGTATTGGACTTGATGGATGTAATTTATACTATCTGCTCTTTCACCTGA